AAAAAGGATATGACCCTAAGTATTTTCCCTCCCCTTCCCCAATCATGGAGTCATTCATTCTATAAATAGTTGTCACACTTTCTGATGAATGAGAGGGAACATTGGTTGAATGCTTAGTGTGTACCGGGTACTATACTAAGCACTTTACACGTATTAACTGATTTACTCTGCACAGCAACCAAGTAGGTGCCATAAGCTTCATTTTACAGGTGAAGAAACTGGGTTAAAGAAAGGTTAAGTAATTTGACCGATATCACTCACCTGGTAAGTGGCAGAAATTGGACACTATGCTAGATGCTGGAGACAAAAGACTGCAAACTGGACGTGGCTCCTGGACCTCATGGAGCTTATTTTATCTAACATTGAAAATAATCACAAAAATAAAAATACAAAATATAATGGATACAAGGGAAGGAAAGGAAACAGAGCGAGAGATGCTGGGGGCCTGATGAGAATTGAGGGGTAGGAGAGGCTGCTCTGAGAGGAACCGTAACTTGCTCCCTTGCTGCTCTCAGGTCCTCACTCAGAGACTTACCTGGTTTCTTCTTTAAAACGACCCGCATGGCTCTCGATACCCACCCCCGCTTAGCACCACCACACTTATTGTGAACTTATTGGCAACATCCCTACCGATACCCGCCTCCTTCGGTAGAGCGTAGGCTTCAGCGGGGCAGACACTCTTGTTTTGAACAGTGCCTGGTGCCTGACCCATTGAAGGAATGAATGTGGAATAAATGAAGAGAAGTTAGCCAGATGGCGAGTGTGGTGGACCGAGGGAATAGCATACATAGAGACTGTCAGGAAGGAAGGAGCCTGCATGTTCAGGATCAGAAGGCGGATGTGTGATGAGCAAGGCTTGGACAAGGAGTGACTGAGGGGGTGGAGGGGTCGGCAATAGGCAGGTTTTCAGCAGGCGAGTGACGTGATCAGATGTCCTTTAAGCCATGACCCTGGCTTCCTGGGGAGAAGCAAGGCAGGGACTGGAGGGTCAGGTCACAAGGCTACTGCAGTGGTCCGGGCACAGGGTGCCAGTGGTTTAGATTAGCAGGATGGGCCTAGTGGAGTTAGAACTTCAGACAGCCCGAGGCAGTGGGGGTTTTTATCTGGAGGCTTGTGTAGCAGCTCACTCTCATTTTTCCCTGAGAAACACTGCCAGAGGAGATCTAAGACTTCTTCCCTGAAAAGATTTTCTTTGTCTCCAGGCAGTTGGAGCCCCAGAGGTAAAAACTGAGAGGCAGTTTGGAGAGGCTCAGTGAGAGGGCCTACCATGTATGGAGCACGGTAGGACTGGATCCTCACTTCACAGGCTGCAAACACCACCTCTCTGACTAATCCTTACCTCTTTTTTTTTATACCCTGCTGCCTCCATGGATATGGAGAACGAGGGAAAAGATTGAATGTGGCTCCCCCGGGATTGGAGGCCCACCTTGGCTGATGAATTCCAGGCCTGGGATTACTTCCTCAGTCCAGCTTTCATTCCTCTTACACTGGGCATAAGCTTTTCTCTGTTACTATGGGACTCAATGTTGTCCTTCTGCTTCTGGCCAGGCCAGCTCCAAACAATTTTGGATGTCGAGCAGAAAGATTCCCAGCCCACCAAAGGTCATGTCATTCTTTGATTACCCCGGTGAGCATTTATGGGCTGACTGCTCTGGGAAGAACTGTCTTCGGAGGAAGAAAGCACCAGTGTGACTCAGCCTCCCGGGGGATCTGATGTTGGTGTTAGCACTGGAAGTCCAGCCCCCTCATTCACAGGTGTGGAGACCAAGGCTCAGAGACAGGCAGGCAGGCATTTGAGGCTCAGCTTACCCCAAACTCACCATCCTGAGCCAGGCTGGTGAGAAGGCTTCCTGCAGTCACATAGGTTATCTTGTGGCAGAGTCCAGAGACTGGGACCCAGGCCTCGCTGCTTCCAGTACAACCTTCCGTGTTAGCAGTGCTTCTGGTGCCCAGCTACCGGGGGCGCTAGGTCCCATTCTAGATCCAGTTTCAGTGCCCTGGGGTGGAGCCTTGGTTCCTGTACCTTTCCTAAAGTTTAGTGGGGAATTCAGATCAGAGCCAGATTTAAGAGTTGCTGTGAGGTTCCCACTGCCTCTGCGTAAACGGCAGTGGAATGAGGGGAAACTGGAGCAGGTTCTGGAGAATGATGATTTTTTGAGCCATAGCAGGAAGAAGGTTGTGAACACAGGTTATCAAAGGTGGTCACTTCTCCATAGGTGCCTAGGGAGGAGCTGTGGGACAGGTTTGGGTGGGATTTAGAGGCAGTTTGGAATCTAAGCCTTTGTTTCCTTCTTGCTAAGTCTTAAGGGGACAGTGGCCTCTTGCTTGCAGCACCTCCCTCCCTGGGTATATTTGTGAGCAGACCTGTGAGTGGGTACGCATACACACACACACGCGCGCGCGCGCGCCAGGGTGAGTACCATGTGACTACTCTCGCATACCCATCAACAGGTTTCATTTGTTACTGTCTGTCTCTCCAGTTTTCCTGAGGAGCAAGATCTGTTTTCCTTTGGTTGCCCAAAAGGTCCCCAGAATCATGCTGCAAAGCCCAGAGGAGCTCAGTCAGCGGTTAGTAAAGGAATGAGTTATGGAGGGGCTTGCTTAATGGGAACAGCTGTTATTTGTCCATCCCCTTTAAGCAGGGGGCCTGGGGCCTCCCTGGACCTGTGCTCCTCCATCCCCTTGGCCATCCTGATGGTGGCCAAGCAGCTGTTGGTTTGTTTCCGCAGATGGTCATCCAAGGCACTGAGAAGAAAAAGATATTCATTAGGTTACCCTGGGAACCTGGGACAGAGCTGAGCCTGGAATTTACATCTGTGCCCTGGTTGCTGTCTATGAGACCCCACCCTTATTCTGCCAAGGGAAAATGACAATATGAGCATCAAAGAATCATTTTTCTTTAGCTCTGAATTGATTTGCCTGCAGGCAGATTTATCGTCCTTTGTCTTATCCTAAAGGTAAATTACTTTTCATTACCTGAGTACAGTGAGGCAGGGGTGTAGACTCAGAGTTGGGAGCCTTGTATTCCATCCAGGCTCCACCAATAGCTGTGGCCCTGGGCAAGTACCTTCCTCTCTCTGATCTTCCATCTCTGCCACTGTAAGCGAAGAGTAAGTGTTGATTCTGAGCCCTGTTACACAGCTGAACTGCCTGGGCACCTCCATCTCCAGGATTCTGACTCAGTAGGTCTCAGGAGGCCCTGTGGGTGGGCAGGGAATGAGATCATCTTAGCTACATGAGCGTCCAGGCCCTTTCAACCAACTCTGGCCAAGTTGGGTGACGGGTGACGATGGCTTGCTTTTAACGGGGGGAGGTCAGGGCTCTGTGGAGAACAAGCCCTTGCTCTTCACGTGGCCGTGGCCTATTCTCAAGTCCTACTCCCATCGTTCCAGATGGGTCTTCGGCAGAAGAGAAGCAGACTCGTTGCTTCAGGGACAAAGGACAAAGTCGGGATAAAAATGCTGTTGCTAGAGTTTACATTTCAAACATCATTTGCGTGGACAATTGTTTCTGACAGCTGAATTCTATCCTTCAACTCCTCTTTTTGTAAGCTGGAGGGAGACCACCTGGGGATGACTCCAGTGTCGGAGAGAGAGAGGAGAAATGCTTTGTAAATGGTTTAATAAATTAGTTAGGTCTTTCTATTTGGATGACAACACTGGTGGCTAGTTTCCTCTCTCCACCCTTAGCTTCCATGGGTGAGAATGAGCCTGGGCAAATCGAAACTTCTAAGTTGGTCCCCCTGCTGCTCTGAGCCACCCATCCACTCAGCCCACATCTGAGCAGCTGCCTCCCCATTATTTGATGTGTCCTTGGGGGAGCAAACTCTTCAGTATAGGTTCAAGTAAAGTGTAATCGGGACAGTACATCTGTTGTTTAACAACAACAACAAAAAGTCCCTTGATAGATTTCAAGGCCCTGGAGATGTGATTTGATGCTGAAGGAAGGATGGGGAGACCTGGCCTTTGACTTAATTTCCTCCAGTCTGGGAACAAAGTTCACTCTTTGCTCCAGATAATGCAACATGACTTGAAAACTATTGCGAGATAGTCTGAGGTGGCAGGAACGGGGATGTAACTTCATGAAGGTGTTTTTTTCTTCCTGTGCCTTATCATCCGACTGTAATCCCTACCTTCCGCCCCACATCACCATCCTCACTTCCTTTACCGACCATCAACCACGTTTCAGGCAGTGTACCAAGGGCTTTATGAGGCAAGTTCTGTCATTCCCAGTTTATGGATGAGGAAACTGAGGTTCAGCAAGGCAAGTGACTTGCCCGGGGTTACACGGCATGTAGGGAACTGGATTTGAAGAGGTCTGTGCTGTACTGCTGCTGCTCAGTCCGAGCCACAAATCAACACCAAGCTCAAAGTCACCTCCCCTGCGAGCTTGTTGTAAGGTTCCTCATTCTTGGCAAGATCCATAATTCTCTACATCTCAGGCTTAGTGGCCACCGAGCCACCGCTTGCCGCTGAGGTTCCTGACTGAGCCACTTGGTTGATGAGAGATTACTCGCTTCGGTCTAGAATAGGCACCCGGGCAGTCCTTGGGCTGGTGTCGGGGTGGGGCAGGCAGACCATTGCTTCCCATGAGCCTCAGTGCCCCAGACTCGAAAGTGGAGGCAGTGGGCGGGGGGGTGCTTCTGTGGGCATCTGGAAGGTTAACCACAGAGGGGCAGGTGTCCCCTTCCTCCTGGAAGTGTGCCAGCCTCAGGGACTGCCACCTCCAGAAAGCACTCTTTGCTTACCAGCACCTGACCTTGTTCTGCCTGCTCAGCACTCGGCTAAATTTAGACTGTGTTCGTTTGCCTTCTTTATGAGTGTTTTTAAAAGAATACTGGAGGCCTTTCCCGAAAGAATTTTCTGTTTCAGGATGGACCCAGAACTCCGCAGGCTCAGGGCTCGGCTGGCCGGGCCAGGCTGCATCTCCCTCTCCCAGCACTGATCAGGCCTGCTCTCGTCCAACACACATTTCTCCGGC